TTGGTTTGTTATCTAAAGGGTTAATTGACTGAGACAAGATCGATTATCACAATAATTGTTTGTTACAGCCCTAAAATGAGGCACCTGGCAATACTGTTGTCTTGGGGAAATAGCATTTGTGTTGCCTGACCCTTTATTGGCTTTTGCCTCAAATCACAGAGATGAATGCGTCAGCCTATTGGCGTAATAGGAGAGTGATTTAGGATGAATAAAACATGCAGCATGAAAGAGTAATGTTGAAAAAGGAGTGTGTTTTGTAATAGAGCCCTGCTGTGTGCCCATTGTGAGGTGATGTGTTAATAGTGGCAGAGCAACTGTGTGGTTGGAGGGGTGAGAAGGTCTAATTTATCCGCTGCTCTGAAGGAGAAATGTATTTTTATTTAAAACCTCCTGGCTCACACCCCTTGACTTCATTGCAGTAATGGAAATGGTAAAATAGGTGCTGTTGGCTGAGACCCCTGAAGCTTTTTTATATATATATATATATATATATATATACCGGCTTTCACAAATGGCTGATTTTTCTCCCTCCCTGCCTCTCTCCCTCCCTTTTCCATTAAGACAGCTGGTATCTTTCAAAAGGTCCTGCTCTGGTGATTGATGTGTAATGGCTTCAAGCCTCACCTGCCCCACAGCGCGTTATTCATCTGTGGGTAGTGTTGAGGGGAGTACTCGCCATTGCTTAATTGGTCCTGGTCACCATTCAGAAGCCACATGAACTGATGATGCATTGTTGCCTGGTCAGTGTTGTAAACCTCACTGCAGCCACTGCCTATCACTGGTTGCTAATGCTTCTGTTGGTATAAATAACACGCTCTTTACATGTGAAGTGTGGATCGCTGAGTTTTCTGCAGTAGTAATTTATTAATCATACGGCACAAGGTTGTACAATGCTCGTATAATGGAGTCAAGATGCAATAAGGGTTTTCATTAGAGATGCACCGATGCCACTTTTTCCAATACGTTTCCTTCTTGGTACTTGCTGATACCTGCATTTTCACTGCATTTGTAGTTTTTAAAATATATTGGGTAGAGAAACCAAACGAATATGAATCATATTAGTTGGCTTAATTTGATTAGTTACTATATATTTTCTTCAGTTATATCATTCTTATTTAAGCATAATAAAGCATTTTGTATGAGGCGAGGTTCTGCTACTATCATATTTTACCTATCATTTCATAGCACAGCGCATACTTAGAGCTGCCCCCCAAAAAATGGATCTTTATAAAGTTACAAAAGTTAGGCCCTGTTCAGTCAAGAGCAGTGAGTGATTTCTTTGTCCTTTGTTTGGTTAACATTAAAACAAAGCAGCAGGTTTATTAGACTGCTGCCCCTTTAAGACCGAATGCATGGATCCATACTGTTGCGCATTGTATTTCTCAACTGTCTACGTTCACTTATATCCGACTGTGTTCACTAGGATATTCGCAGAGCGCAAGAGATTTAGCACTAAAATCTGTCGTTTTTCAAATCAAGCGGAGCGCTTTTTTTTTTGTTGCATGCTGTCTATTGCATGGATACAGTGTCTTTTGTCTTACGGTGTCTATCTTCACTCAGGCGCGTGCTTCAATTTATCGCCATTGCAGAGACTCTATATTCTGGACAGTTTGACCAACGGGCAGCGGCCGCACACCAGGCCACCGGATGGTGTTGCTAATAACTTGCAATGCATAACTATAGACCAGCCCTCGTGGCCTCAACCCTTCCGGCCCACAGGGAAAAGTCCCGACTCTCGGGATTGCCTCTCCGCTACTGACTGGTGGCCACAGTATCACTTGTGTTTGCTCATGCAGCCATCTCGCTGTAGTGTTTGTCAGCTTCTTTGCTGCGTGTGTGAGGAGAAAAAACACTGACGTCCTTAGGGAGGGAAACATGAAATACATCTCTTACAAATCTGGAACGCGGTCATTCATAAAAGTATCGATACTAACAAATGTATTAGTTGTGACGTTTTTAATTTCCGAGAATCGTGATACTTTTAAAGTATTGGTGCACATTTCAAATCAGCACTGTTTTACTTGGAGTGTTATGTTTGTTTTTAATCCCAGTATCCATTTAAATAATCGGCGTCAGTAAAATCCACTATCTGTCGACCTCTACTTCATAGACATCCTTCTCTTTTATCCACATTATACTCTCTGCTGGTGTTTCTTTGACTGGACACAAACACTGTACACATGCTTCGTGGTATTAGTTGTTGGTATTGGAGCATTTTAATGAATACGAGTACATTAGCTCAGTATCGGGCCTGATACTGGTATTAATTGTGTTGTACTGTTCCGGGAAAAAAAAGGCTTATTCGCTGGTCTTCAAACTCGATTGTTCAAAGCATTCGAGAACCACAAACTTTTACAATGTAGTGCTTGTGAGATTTTTCTTTTTTTATTTTTATTAGTGTTTATTTTTTATTATTTACTTTTGTTAATTTTTTTAATCAGTTACAGTTGTAATTGTGTATAGCTGTTTATAACTTTTGAAAGCTAGTATAGGCTGCATTTTATAATTTCTCATCCAACAATTTGAGAATGACTGACTGACTGTCTAGATTTTATTTTTAAAAATTGGTGCATTAATTACTGTATTATATCCTTCGTTTTAGCTGTTTGCACGGTAAAACATTCACGGAAATGAATTCCATGTTTTTTGCCGTCGTGTCACAATAAGTGCCCATAATGCAATAGTTGCTTTTTTAAGTGAAAAAATGTTTTGATGATCTTGCTCTCTTGCTGGCTGCATTTGAACACCAGAATGTGTCCCATTTAAACGCCCCCTAAGAAACATGTGTGATCAGTGTCTGATGAACTCAACTGCTCTAATTATGCAGGACTTCTTCACTGATCGTTTAGTTCAGAAGACATTTTAAAAACCCACTGTCTTGTTGACTGTCCATATGAATGTATGCATGTGTGTTCAGGCTGGCGGTCCGCATGGTAACTCGTGCGGTGATTAATCGGGCCGTGACGTGGCTGCGCAGCTCTGTAATCAGTCAGTAGTGTTTGAGGTTGATGAGGGGAGCAGCTGCCCCGTCAGTTGCCGTCTACTCAAGATGACAGGCTGCCATTGACAGGGCTGCTTGTCAACTGCACCAGTGTGCCTGTCATAAGCCATTTCTCTTCATTTTTATACCTGCTCTATAAACACACCTCTCACACTGACAAACAGCCCAATTCTGTCCTGCTGCTGTCCTCCCGCAGGCTCCACATTTCCAAATTCACTCGCTGCTGCTTTTTCGGCTGTTGTCAGGTTTAGCTGCACTTGAGGCTGTAATCTTTAGTTTCCTGTTTAACTGAAGAGGGGGAAAGCGGCGTGGACCCTTTCAAGTGCACTTCATTGTTACGCAGCCATTTCATGCTCTCATATTAGAGGTCTTGTTTTGTTTTTTTCCCTTTTCGGCCAATGGGAGATTGATCTTTATTTTCATGAATGTTGACTTAAAAGAGGCAAGTAGCAGCGAGCGTTGTAAAAACAGGATTTGATCCAAAGCTGTTTTCTGTCTGAGTCTTTTGCCAGGTTTCTTCTCCATGCCTGTCTGTTCTGATTTCCACGGGTGATCGCTGTGCTAGCTGAGGTAGGGCCGCCTCTGGCCAGGCTGTAGTTGCCTGACCAGCATGCACAAGCAACAAACACTGTGGCCTAGAGGGAGCACTAGGTCTTATTCCAGTCTAATGCATTACTTGTACGAAATTCTATTCTCGATAGCCTGAGCTGGCTAGTTGTGCAAAGGTCTATATAAGCCTAATATCCTGTAAAACGTGCAGCTGAGCCAATTTGATAATGCAGTGGGGAATCCTGTTTAGGCCACTGTGCAGGGAAACATAGTGGTGCTTTTCATCGCCAGGCAGAAATGAGCTGGGGAAAAGAGCAGGGAGCTTGAAGTTTGTGCTCTTTTGATATAGCTTTGCTCAGAGCTCTCCTGAGGACATGTGCTGCTGCTGTGGAAGAGACCGGCGATTGATGTTCCTTTTGGTGTGCGACGTCACAGCGCTGCTCGCCGGCTGTGATTGATTAAACCGATTGCATGAGTATCAACAGGCCCTTGGTTTTACAAATATCTCGCTGTGTTGGGGAACATGAAAAGCAAATTTAGAGCACGTTTAATGTTGTAACCATCAAGTCAAAAGTGGTATTTTTTTCACATGGCTTTAATGTAGGTGTATACATCCTCATTATTTTTAAAAGATTGAGCAAGATGCACCAAATGAGATTTTACATCTAACCTTGCCTTGTCATTAAGATCAAATTATCTGAGATTTTAAGAGACTTGATGATGACCTTGACCCGAGTCATGAGAGTCTGCACAGGTCCTATCTATGATGATGTTTTTTGTGGCATGTCGCATGAAAAACATTATTTTTATGAGGCTTTTAACGTCACTATGATAACAGAAAATTGTATAACTGTGGCATTTCATTTTTGCCCCTTCAAAAAAATTAATTTTATTCTCAATTACACTCTTAGAAGAAAAGGTTCTATATAGAACCTTAAAATGTTCTAAAGCGCTACGTATTTGGAACCCCTAAAATGCAATGAGTGTGAATGATCACAAAATTCAAGATATGGGGGCTAAAAAATGTTATTAATCAATATCACATGAAGAGTGTCGTTTCAGTTTTTATCCTCCAAAAATCTGCATGATTAAAATGTGATATTAAGTTACTACAACAGTTTAATAAACAATAATTTAATTACAACTACAAAATGTTGGAGAATAATGTAATATATGAATGAATAATAGCTTTTAAAGAACCTTTGTGCCAAAAGTGTTCTTTCTTGTCATTATTGAACCTTTTTTAGCATAAAACGTCCTTTGGAGTTGAGTAAAGAACCCTATGCTACATATATAGAACCCTTTTTTCTAAGAGTGTACAAAAAGGTGTATTCAAGTCATTATGTTGAATGCATTTTTTTTTAAAACACATTTATTTTTTGAATAAATAGACAAAAAAAGTGTCACATTAACCACTCTAACAATGTCATTGTTTTTCCTCTCCCTTCAGCTCTTCTGAAACACTGGGGTTGTTGGTGTGGCCAAATTTTCCCTGGATTTGATTGGTAAATTCAGAAGACTGAAGCCCAGGCTCACAGTCTACCTTTCACGGAGGCCCAGCCGTGAGAGGACAGAAGAAGGCACGTGGCGAATCATGACTGCCGACAAAGAGAAGGACAAGGAGAGGGAGCGCGAGCGTGATCGGGACCGGGACAGAGACCGCGAGAAGCGGGACAAAATGCGAGAGTGCGAGAGCTCACGGCCCCGGCGAAGTTGCACACTGGAGGGCGGTGCTAAGAACTATGCTGAGAGCGAACACAGTGAGGATGACGATAACGAGACGCCTGGGGCCGCCAACGCCGAGGAGGGCGGTAAGAAAAATAAGAAGAAGCTGCCCAAGAAGAAGTCGCGCTATGAGCGAATGGAGAACGGCGAGATTACTTCCTTCATTACGGAGGATGACATTGTTTACAGACCCGGTGGTAAGTTCTGATTGTACTCAAGTTGAAGATGTGTTTGTCATTAAATAACCATGCTGTTTGGACAGCAAAATGTATTTGGCAATATATTGTATGTGTTGCTGAAAATGGTGCTTTAGCGTAGCATAAACATGTCACATCATCCACTACTTGGATGAAAAAAATGCATTTACGTTGGCTGCTGTGCTTGACTAAATACATTCCCTCTTGATGAAAATGCAGGAGAAATCACCATGATGATATTTGAAACGGACATGTTTTTCACACTTAGCTGTCCAAACCACGCAAGATTCTTGTTTTTATTTGTATTTTTCAGTGAGTGACAGAAAAAGTGAAACGATCCACATTAGGTCTTTATTAGGCGCTGAGATTGAGCCTAGACCAGAGCAATAACCTTTTCCTGCGCTGTAAACATGGCCTCTCTTTCACCTGCTGTTTAGAAATTGGTTGTACATGAGACTGGGGGGAAATGTCAACACTCCGGTGGAGGGCAAAGCACGGCTGCTGTAGTTCTAAATCATCCTCGCCGTGTCTTTCATTTATTTAGCAGAAAGGTCAAGCAGTATGCTTAGTTATTTAATGCGAAGACTTCAAATTATTGCCATTTGTGTAATTTCCAATCTCTCCACTCCATCTCTTCTGCTTAGCAGAGGTGTTTGCTTGGAGGGGAAGGTGAGGAATGGTGTGATGGTTGCCCCCTCCTCCTCCTCTTCTTCCTTGCACTGTTGCCCCAGTGGGAATCCGGTTGGAGGCATTATCTGCTGAAGGTCCTTGAAAACACAGTTGCTGAAGCTCTCTGTCAGTAATAACCCACCAGATCCCTTCCCTGCTCTGTTTTGGAAAGTACCGCCAGTCTGCTTTAGATTGAATTGAATCACACACATCTGAGGCATGTTAGTTGATTTAATCACTGCTGCAGTAGAGAATACAAAGGGACGGTCACCATGTTTTTGAAGGCGCTTTTTAAGGTGCAGCTATTTAAAAAAATAAATTGCGCCATATGTGTGTTGTTGATTCTGTTTATACAGTGAACCTTTCCTTTATAGTGTTCTATACATCATATAGCTGATCTGTTAATGCTTTAGTGACATCATTGTGTTTTGTATATGTTTTTTATAATTTTGTCACTTTTTTAAAATGATGTTTTTGTGCTTGTTTGTAGGGCCGTACAGTTTGGACAAATTTATGAATATACATAAATAAATATATTGATATTTACAACTAATAATAATAATAATAATAATTATTATTATTAGTCATGTAAAATATAAATAACATTTTTAAATGTAAATATAAAAAATACCATATTTTTATTGGAATATTTCACTGAAAAATAAAAATGTGTGAACTGCACTGCTCTGAAACACTGAAAACACTAAAAGGCACACAACACATATATATATATATATATATATATATATATACTTAATGTGTAAACATTTTACGATTTATTTCGTTTAATTGTGCTGGCCTTGCTGCATGTGGATGCATTTGGTTTGCGGTCAGTTTCTGCAGCCTTATTGCAATCAGATTTGATTCGAGCGGCTTAAGTAGACACAAAGCCTGTGCTGGATTAAACCCTACTAAATGTTAAATCCTTTTATGTTTGTCTAGTGACACACAATATGTAAAACTGGCCACCCTTGAAGTGGGTATTAAAAACGGTGAGAAGCCAACGGAAAAAGAGAGAGTCTAATCAAGGGAGAGAACTGAAACAAGACAATAATTGCTTTTGTGGCTCGAGAGAGTCGGCCGCGTGTACGTATGACACTAGATAAGACGAAGTAATATTGAAAGCCAACATGAAGATCTCCCTCAAACATTTTGTCCACTAACGTTTTCATAGCAAGCTTAGTGTGCATTTATTAGGGTGTCTGCAAAAAAGCAAATAGGCACGTAGCCTCGTCATTGGAGAGATGGATTGTGCTTGAGTGAGGAAGGAAGGAACGAAGGAGAAAAGGAGTGAGTGTGGAGTGTGATTCAGATGGGGAGAGAGAGATGGAGAGGCATTTGTATTGCAGACAGGGCCACTCGGATGGAAGGTAGAGTAAAGCATCTGAATCGATCAGGCCTTTGAGTGGCGTTCTCGTGTCCAGGCTCCCTTTAGCTTTGCGGATATTCGCTACACAGAGGCAGCTTATGGATCCAGCCGGGAGATTATACACACATAAGATCAATACTCAAGCCTCTGCGAGCTGGCCGTGGCTGTCTGCAGTCCGTCTTTACAACCTGCAGTCACACCAATGTCCTTGTACTGTGACGGCAATTTGTCTCCCTGGCTGCCATTTGGCTTTTAAAATGGAGAGCTTCTCAAGCGGGATTGGCTGGATGAGTACCACTCCCACCCGTGTGATGAGAATGCTGACAATAAAGAGAGGTGAATATCCACCGTGGGCTCGGCTGAGGGTTGGGGTGGGCTTTATTGTGCTCATTATAACTCTCATCCAAAACCTAGTGGGCTGCCTACTTAGAGTGTTTTATACCTGCAAACTAGTTGCTTTTCGGCAGAATACGCAGTTTGTAATAAATATGTCATTTATGTAAATTGGGAGGGAGGGAGGGGTTCGGGGTGAAATTGCAAGCCCAAACCTCAAAAGAATCAAAAATTGGCTACTTTCCCATAGACTGGAGTGAGACCTTAGATGTCTCTCGAGCTATCGCAATCTTTTTTGACGCCTGACAGATCGTTGTACTGCCTCCGTTCAAGCAGAGCGCTTGTGAACGATCATATCTTTCGCTTTACTGGTCACAACACGAAATAAACTTGAAGGTATGTTGAAATACTATATAACTTACCGAAATCTGTATCATGTCACATGTAATTGCTCAGTGTTTCAACTGCAGGAAGGCATCAATAAAACAGCTTGTAAACAATGTCCTTTAATGTCCAATGCATTTACCTCAATAAAGCCATTCAATGTCCAAAAAACTAGTCAGCTAGAAAAATGTACTTAGGAGAATTTTGCTAAATAATATATGCATTTGCAGTATGGGTGGGGGAAAAATCGATTCTTAGATGCATCGCGATGCGGACGTGGACGATTCTGAATCGATTCACAAATGTCAAAAAAAAAAAAAAAAATCCAGATATATATTTATAATAACGTAATTTTGACAGAACTCTGAAGTGCAGGTCGTCCGTCTGTGGCATGCACAAGAGACGCAATGGCTGAGCGTGAAACCCAAAAACCCTTGTTAAAAGCTGACGTGTGGAAATATTTTGGCTTCTGAAGTTAAAAAAGGAAAGGAGCTGGACAAGAGGCACACTAGTTGTAAGCTTTGTAGAATAAAACTAAAAAATTTTGGAAACACGACAAATATGAGAAGCCATATGACCCGTTTCCACCCAGAGGAGGAAAAACACGGCTGTACCGTTATTATATTAATTTAGACACAGATTTATTTTCCTGTTGCTTCTTTGCAATGTTAATAAAATATATTGTACGTTAATTCTTTATGGGTTATTACTTAGTAATTTTAAGGCAAACTGTTTAGTCATTTATTTATAGCCCTCTGAATCATAATCGAATCGTACGGCGCCTAGAGATTCTCACCCCTAATTTATAGGCTGTTGCATAATTATTGTATTTTTACTTAACCTGTTCTTTAAAATAAATGTATGTTTGAATAAATCCGGTTTAAGACAGCCAGCATTTAAATATTTATATTAAAAACTAGAAGACACATTGTCATTTAAATTTATTATAACGTTATTATAAAAACTTCCTTATATATGTAGCCTACAAACAAGTAAACAATTAATTTAATATTAAAGTCTACCAACTATGGTTCTGTATAGTTTACAGCATTAGTTGAGAGATTTTTTTTTTTTTTTTTTTGAGGAAATTTGGCATGTACTGACCTGAAAAGTTAATAAATATTGAATATTGAAATGAAGGCCCTTTTTCGCGTGTCAAAAAATAAATACGACCTCAGGTTATGTCAATCACGCTTGCACACTGCCTCCGAAACTTTCACCCGTCATAAAAAAAAAAATCGAATCGGTTTGGTTTTCTGCGTTTTTCTCATCCATAGCAAGCAGTTTGAATGGTGTTTTGACAATTCAGAGCCACCGAATCACGAATACGAAAAATTTTGGACTCAGTGTGCAATGGCCTTTAATCAAATTGATATTTTTTTTATACTAACAAATGTTGTCTTTTAGTGCTCCAGAATGCTTCATTAAAATCACAAAAAAATGCGTTGTGACAAGGTCAGTCTAACTCAATAATTGAACATGCTATTTAAAAAAAAATTAAACATGAAATTGAGAGTGGTGTAAATTCGTACACATCACATTAGGAGTTCTATTTGTGTGAAGTTCCAGTTCAGTCACTGGTGAGGTTTCTTTAGACAGAAATCTGAAAGTAGTCGGCAGGACAGCTTACTAGGTTTTGGAACAGAGCTTATTGTTGGGGTTATGATTGAGGTGGAGGTCTAGATGTTGAATTTACAAAAGGCTGAGTAGGGATGAGTACATCTCTGAAGGTGGCCTTTATTTTTCTCTTTCTCCTGGCTGCCTGTGGGTGTCTGGACAGCTGTCACCTAATTATGGAGCCACCCAAAGCTTGCAGTCTTTTCCATAAGGCTGAAATCTCCACCGGGAGCTTGAGCCCATCGCCCTCACCTCCATACAGAGCTGAGTGGTTCCTTGTCAGCTCGCTAATATCATTTCAAGACTGGTTATTTGTCTGCTCGCAATTTTGCCTGATTAGCACCTTGGTGTAAGTTTCATGTTTGTCAGTGGATCCAGTTGAGAGATTATAGAAACACTAACAGGCGAACAAAGCTTCAGATCTTTCCCTGGAACAGAGTCAAAAATGAACTCAATAGACTTGGTGGGGTGAAAATGGACATGCACCACCTTCGCAAAGAGCATTCGGCCATTGCTGAAATAAACTTCTCTGAAATAAACTTTGTTTGTTGTCATGGGGAGAAACCAGGCTCACTCTTGGCTAGAGTCATGTATTATTCAGTGAGGTGAGACTAACTGCATTTGACCA